CACAACAAACAAATAGATGGCATACATGCACAGAGTGCCGTGTAATCTACAGTTTGGAGGAATGTTTAAATTCTGCCGTCGAATGGTCCTGGGAGCAGTATTGCGCATTGAACCTTGGAAGCTGAGCTGTGCATGTCTTGCACGCGATAAAAAGGATGCTTCAGCGCGCTCGCATCGATCGATCGATCGCTTTCGAATCGATCGCTTTCGATCGTTTATCGATCGCTTTCGATCGTTTTGATTGAGGACATTGACTCAGGTTTTGTCAGGTCTTTTTTGTTGCTTTTAAGATGGCACACTAGCCCTCCCGTTCAATCAACTGCCATCTGCAAAAGATGTCAAAAAATGGCTGTTATGCCATCTTATCCAGCGTGTGTCAAATGCCATCTATGTGTGATCCACTATAATAAACCTCATAGAAATTTGCAATTGATTCTCCATGCTCCGAAACCACAGATGCTCCCCCACCTTTCTCACCACATCTCACCTTCCCCGACTAATCCCACCGTCTCACCGGTGCCGGCACCGGTCGCGCGTGCTCTCCGCCGGGCGCGTCCGGGTGCGTCGAGGACGTGGTGACGCACACGGAGGTCCTCCCTTTGGAGTTCGCGGACCGCGCCCACCCACCCGAGGAGCTTTCTGGGGTCCGCGGTCTGCGCGCAGCGGAGAGGAACGGTGGTGGAGCTGCTGGAAAGGAAAGCAGCGGCCCAGTGTGGTTAGGGTCGAAGGCAAAAGAGCTGAGTTAGAAAGGTTTAAAGGTTGAAGTATAAGCAAAATCACGAATGGATTCAGTTAATTTGCATTGGTAGGCCAGTGTCCATAAGGTTTGGATCTGGAGAGTCCAATCGAGGATGTGGACGTTTTAAAGTCATTATGTGTTTTCCAAATCTTTTTGATAGGATGTTTCAGTCTTGGGGTCGTCCCCCCAATCCTGCAACCGCGGGAGAGCCACAGGTCAGCACTATAGTGTATCATGAGGTTGCTTTCGGTTTCAATCCAAATGGTGTAGTGAGTGAGTGCCATGTGGGATAAGTTGGATAAGCCTTCATGCAAGACCGTGTCTCTTGAAGGCATTCCGGATACCACTGATTTCCTGGGTGGTGGCGTCATCTTGATGTTCAACCTCTACTTGGGGCAATTGATCCCCACTGAGTTACTATGTTTCAAGAGAGTTGCTTCTTCACCTAAGCAGTTGACCAGTTTTTGTCCTTGTGTTCCTCCGGGTTTTTCACTCACTTCCCCATGGATCAAACCTTCTGTCCCGTTTGGGGCTCGCTTCGCTGGGACCGGGGTGGGTGCTGGTTGGTGGCCGAAACAGTCATTACTTGGAGTCCTTTTGGGTTGGGTTTATCCTAGTACCAGTCACAGCCAGTAAGCAAGCAAATCACTCTTCTTGAACAATGCCTGCAACTGAACCATGCATGATCCACTGCTAATGGGATAGACCCAACCTATAGACCCAACCAAAAAAGGGATCACCTCGCCCTAGTACCCAACCGACCCCATAGGGGTGGGTCTATTCAGCGACCTTTTCTTCCAGGAGGGCCAGAACATCCACGGTCTCTTCATCGAAGGTGCTCGCTGGAATCGCTTGGACGGCCGGCTGGAGGAATCTGAGGCGAAAAAGCTACAGCGTCTCGGCTTCTACGGAGACCGGTCTGTTGGGGAGGAGGTGGCCGGGCTCTGAGAACAAGCCATTTTTCAGAGGTCAGAGACCTGCTTGTGAGGGCGGTGCCAAGCAGGCCGCCAAGTAGGCCAGATGGTTTGGACATGTTTCTCTTCTGACCTTGTGGTCCTTTTGGTGAATCCAATGGACGCTCTGCGGGGTCCATGTCCATGTTTTGCACTATAGATGTGTGGTTTTTGAAATTAAGAACCATTTCGCAAAGACGTGGCATTTCTGTGTCCAAGAATGGGAGGGAGCTCCACAGCTCCTGAGGAGAAATGCATCTCCTAGAGTGAAGACGGAGACAAACAAGTGCTGTTCAGAGGGGTTGTGGCAGCATAGCACATTTTATTGCTTCTGAAGCCCAGCCAGCCCAGCTACGTGCTTTGCCGAAAACGATCCAATAATAACCAAACAGGTCCTAGTAAAGTTTGGGGGGAACCAACCGGGACATCGACTTGGGAGGAAGACAATCGATGAACCTTGCCAGAAGTGCAATGGGTCAAAAAGGTACCTTGGTGAACATTAAAATAGGTGCAATGACTTTCTGGTCTTCAGAGGGTCCGTGACCGCAGGCACAACTAGGTGCAACACAAGCCCTACTTCGTTCATCCACTTAAGCTATGGAATTTGACCCATTGCCATAGGCTTCCCAATCCACTCAAACCGAGTATCATCCACAAAAACCGAGCGCCCGTGCGCGCCAAACTTCCGCGTGCGGCACGTGCTGGGAGTTTCGTGGCGAGGATGAACATGCCGGTGATCTACATCACTGCAGTGGAGGTGAAAAGCAAAGGCAACGCAAATGCGGGGCAAAGCTATCCTCCACTCAACGCTGCCGTGTATAAGTACCCGCGCAGAAATGACAGGCGGATGAGGGATATTAAGGGATGAGGGTGCATGTTTGAATGCAAGTGTGCTTAAAGTTTCAAGTTGTTGCTCTTGTCTTGAATGTGTGCGTTCTCGTTGCACAAGACAAGGAGAAGATGTACGAACCGAAACATGCAAGATCGTATCTGACATAGTTAAAGATGATTAACGATGTATAGAACAGAGTGGTCGTGCAATGTCGTGGGGAACTACCTGCAGGTACTTGATTTTCAGACTCTTCCTGAGATCTGGTGATCATCATCCGCATCACTGGAAGCTTCGGGGGGGTCTGCTTGGTGGCGCAGACAGACTGAGCTGCCCCAGTGGCAAAAAGGGACGCCGGTCCGCGAGCGTCGCGTCGACGAGCTGCGCGGAACGGGTGGGGGCGACCGGCCTCTCGCCCTCGGGACATGAGTTTCGCGGCAAAACGGCTTGGCAATGACGGGGGAAGATTACAAACCTTCGAGATCCTTCCACGTATATAGTGGATTGAGAGTAGATGGCACAGACCCCAAGAGGTGGTTTATATGGGCCCCCTTCTAAAGGACATTCTGGGGTTTGTGCCATCTACTCTCGCATCCCAAGGATTTCCAAGGTCTATACTGGATGTGATCTTGGGATAACTATGCATAGCATGTGATCTTGCCATATCTTTAATATTCGAGAAAAGCCTCGCATCCCAAGGTTGCCATCCAGCAAGCATAGGATGTTTTGGATGCTCATGACTTGGGAATTTGCACGTCAGAGCTCAAGACATCCACATGCAAGAGCACCGGCACTGTGCCAGCTTGAGTTCCATGTTTCTTTCATTTGGGTGAGGTGCAGGCCTGTGCGCGTTTTCATGCAAAGCCAAGAAAGAATCAGGTCAGGTGCACGAGCCACTCACCTGACACTTTGCCTCACCCGCCTACCCAACAGCCGATTTCAGCGGCCAGGTCAGCCATGGGCCGAGACGCTTCGTGTGCGGCCGACGGCACCCAGGATTGGCTTCGGATCAACACCTCAAAGACCTGGAGTTGTTTCCCCCCCCTCGAAGAGCTGCAGCTTTGGACCGTTTTGCGCGTGGTTGCGTTCTTTGGGAATCGCTGCTTGCCTATCAATCTCAGCATCACCCGACACTGACGTGGCCATTGAGGAGGGAGCCGGCAATTTATGTATTGCTCAGACCTGCTCGTAGTTTGCTTGAAGATCACCGAAAAGTAATCAGTTATTATGACTTGTTGGGTGTAGCCCATTACCAGTAACAGTCCGTGTACGATTAATTATCACAATGTTTGAGAAAGGCCCTTACTAACCATCTACTGCTACTGCTACTGGTAGGGATATATATTATATATATACCCAAAATAGTTCTTGATATGGCATTATGGACCCTACAAAGGGACCCTGAAAGGTAATTGCAGGTAATTGCACCCATTGATGCATTGTTCCAGGGTAAGTGAACGACCCAGGTAGTTCAGGAAATACCCGGACCGTCCAGGTAGATGTTCAAAAGTGCAGATGCACGAAGATGAGGAAGAACGTGGTGTGTCCAACTGCCCTGAGATGATGAGATGCGATTTTGGCAGTTGCACTCACAAAACCGCTTGCGTCGGTGTGTGATGAAGATGCTGTCAGCGTTTACATGTCTAGTTACATGTCTTCGCTTTCTTTCAGTTCTATAGTCTAGGTGCCAGTAGTCAGGGGGTTGGTAGATCTGCCACTAATACTACTGCTGCTGCAACTACTGCTTCTGCTGTTGTTACTGCTACTGCTGCTCGTAGAGCAGCAGCAACAACAACTACTACTACCACTACGGCTACGACTACTACTACTACTACTACTCCCAATACTATACTACTACTATACTACTGCTACTGCTCCTTGTACTCCTACTCCTACTCCTACTACTACTACTACTACTAGTACTAGTACTACTACTACTACTACTACTACTACTACTATACAACTACTAAACTACTATTGCTGCTGCTGCTGCTCCTACTACTACTACTGCTACTACTACTACTACTC